AGTTTTATTAAAATTCTTGCTTTGTTAATATGATAATCATATGGTAAATAAATAAAGATAATAATATATCACTTTATAATATTTAATTTATAGAAACAAAAAATAAAACATCATATCTAAATAGTATCTTTATAGGACAATTTTGAGAAAATATCTATAAACTCATCTTTTTACAGGACACTTGTGTTTATAGGACATTTTTTTTAAATAGTATCTTATAGAATAGCTAATATAACGTTTTTTCTGTAAAAATGTCCTAATAAACTTGTTACGACGACCAAAAACATCTTATAAATTTATTACAACGCATTTAGATATGACACTTTATTTTTTTGATCATATAAATCATGTTTATAAAGTGGTCTATTAGAACGCTTATTTTATAGTGGCGTCCTAGAAACCCCATTTTGTTGTAATGAGTCCTTACTAAATCTGAAGCTTGCTTCCTCTTACTGAAACTTAAACGATGCTCGGTTTGTGTCCCACACACACAAAACAAAATATTCTATATTCATAACATAACTGATACTTTAAGAATACTAATAACATGCTAAAAGAATTAATTTAACTTCAACGCATAACGTATATGTACTTCTAAAAATAATACTAGTTATATACCCCGTTTTGAAAAATGTATGACAACTCACTGGATATGTTGCAGGTACGGAAATTGGTATGCTACTAGTATGAGCACTTACCCATGTTTAATAAGCTTACTGTGCCAAATATTGAATATTATCTAAAATCTTAGTAACTTAAACATAAAAAATGGATGACTAGACTATTGCACACGTGCTAGTCGCTATCATACAATTGTATCTGACTGCTCTTACTCTCACACGATTGTGCAAGATTTACACTAAACACTACACGACCATGTCCATGTATCTCACTATCATGCCAGATTTGGGCATGGTAGCACACAAGAGTGCCAAATCCCAACATCAAAATTATAACATCACCAATTTCTATTACAACATTGTACTTTTAATTTTAATATTTTTATTATCGTCCATGTAGGTTGGTCCACATGTACGATAGTGTTGACATGACATTTCTTATTATACAATTCAAACATCACTTTTTTATGAATATTTTTATTCGTGAAATAATGATCTTTTGTAAACATGTTTAGTTTATGATATTATAAGTTTTAGTAAATACATTTGGTTAAATTTACTATGTTTAAATGATAAAAATATTAAGATTAAAAGTACAATGATGTAATAGAAATTGATGATGTTATAATAAAATAATTTTGAAAGTACAATGCTATAATAAAAAATGTCATGTCAGCATGATCGTATATGTAGACAGTTTACATGGACGATGAGGTGGCAAAAAAATTGATATATGTGATAACCAGATCTTGGTTATTATCCAAGGTATTTAATACGTGATTATCTGATTTAATAATTACGTGATGGCAGGATAATTGATACATGCCGGTACGACAATTTGTGAATTAATTGAATATATATATATATATATATATATATGTCTTTTTGTGTGAATATATATATATATATATATATAATTATAAATATGCATATGTGTTTATGTGTGTGCATGCATTGGAGTATGTATGCATCTATGTGTTAGTGGTTATATGCATAGGTGTATATAAAGTTTTAATATGCATACACGTGGCTTCGTAAAGTAGCCGACCTTCCTTGTTTGGAAGGTATAAAAGGGGCTTCATCTCCCTCATTTACCTTTTCCTGCCATTTTAAGAAAGTTGAGAGTTTTAAAAGTGTTGTCCGGTTTAGCAAAAAGGAAGTGATTTCAAGTTGATTTCAAAGTGTTTAGTTTAAAAAGGGATCGATTTCTAGCATCTTGGTGACAAAAACTTGTTAAGGTGAGTGGTTTCTAAATCTTTTGTATAAAGATTCTACTAGTTTTATTTGCATGTTTCGTATTGTTCTTGTTTGAAAAGAAACCTTGATTTTATTGTCTAAGTGTTTATCCGGACAAAAGGTGACCGGATAAGCATTTAAACCGGACAAGCCTTAGGTGGTTTATTGTCCGGATTGTCTTAAACCGGACAAGCCTTGAAAGGTTTATTGTCCGGATTGTTTTAAACCGGACAAGCTTTAAACGATTTAGTGATCGGACTAGTTTAAAACGGACAAACCATGAGCGGTTTGTTGTCCGGAGTTGGTAAACCGGTTGAGTGTTGAGCGGTTTATTTTTAAACCGGACACGTTTTRAGCGGACTATTGTCCGGATTTGATATCCGTTCAATATGAATATTGTTCTAAGTGTTAAACCGTTCAACGAATGTTTGGTGTGTTGACCGGATTAGATATCCGGACAAAGTGGACTTTAGTCCAAGTGTTGTAAAYCGGACGGTTGTTGACCGGACTAGTTGACCGGACTTGTAAACCGGATGATTGTTGACCGGACTTGTTGTCCGGATGACTTTTAATTGGAATTTTCATAAGTTTTATATTTAGACTTTTTATATGATGTAAAATGTCTATTATTAAGATTAATTGTAGATTATAAAATGGGTATTTTTATATCCTTTTAAATAAATATATGTTCCTACCAAGCGTGGTGACATAAGTCTGTTTTGGTATGGAAGTGGATTTTATAAATTGTTTCTACCAAGCGTGGTGACGTAAGTCTGTTTTGGT